TATCCTTTTGCAGTAATAGGCCTTTATTTCCTCATTTTCATAGGGACACCAAAAAATTGCTCAATAATTTTTCTGGATTTTTCTGCCAGTTGCTGCAGGCATGTCACTTCCTAGTCTAACAATAACCCAAAAGAACAGGACATGGTACAAAGCATTAGTAGATCAGCATTTAATTAGGAATATGAAAACATGGCAGGACCCGCAAAGAATATTCAATACTTGTGCAGATTACACCTAGTAAAAGGAGTTAATGTAAGTTAAAAACATAAGATCTGAAAGATAATACTGTCCCTCAGATCTGTTCATAAATGCTGTAGTATTTTTAAGACAAGAATAATTTAATCCTATTTTAAATTACTTTTTTTTTTTTAGGGCTAGAAAGGGCAAATATTTATTAGCATGTGACAATTCAATAATAATTTTCAGGAACAAAGTATTACACAAAAGCAAAATAAACCTTAAAAAAATTAATTGAATCACAAAACCTGCCGGTGAGGATGTACAGTCAGCAGATGCCAGAAATTCCAAATAACAACTCAAGAGTGTAAGGCTGCATCATAAAACCTAAATGAACCATTTTCAGTAGTGTACTCTACAAGTGAGCTCAGGGAGGTAGTGCTGTCAAAACTCAAGTTCTTGAAGTTGAATCTTCAGTACAAGAAAAGTTAACATTCCAATACTAACAAATCCCCAAGGCCAAACTCATATACAGGAGGAAGTGGGATGTATTATTTTCCTTCTCTAGGCCTCAGGTCTGGAAGGAATATAGGTAGAAAAGGTGCTTTTTTCTTTAAAAAAAAAAGGAAGGTTTACTAGGAACATCTGTGGAACTACAGACCAGTAAACTGACTTCTGTGTCAGGTGTTTGATGAAAAATACACAGAAATGTACAATTAGTAGGACTGTATTTATCACATACAGACTATACAGTAATCTTAGCATACAGTCACAGACACTGCTTTTAAAGAGGAGAGTTATACTTCAGTCTGTGTAGAACTTTTTCAAAGACTATTAAAGAACAGGAATAGGAATGGTCAAAGTATCACTGTGTAACTACATTTCAAATAGCTCTTGACAGGGTGTTCTGCCAATGACCAGGCTCAACAAAAATGATACCACCACCAGCAGGAAGATGAACCAATACACAGACTGTATTGTAGACAAGAAGGACATTGCATGAATGATCTCTGGGGGTACAAACAGATCAATCAGCTGGTACATAATTGATGCCACCCCCAATGATCTCACAAATGACGCGACTCGGCCCACAACAGGTGGTACAAACAGAGACCCGAGGTTGCCCGCACTTGGCATGGGAAACAGCCAGACCAGCAAGCTGAACACATAAGAGAAAGGTGCCCATATAGTGACTCTCACCTGATCCGCCCACGTTCCCTTGAGCAGACCGGGGCCCAGCTCCAGGTAGAGTCAGGAGGTCTGCCCTGAACCAGGGAGCTCTGTGGAGTGCACTCCACAGACAGACACTCCTGACTCCCTGCAAGTGGTCCCAGCTTTTATCCCCAAGCAGACACCTGACCTTTGTCAACTCAGTGCGGGACCCCTGGGGCTCATTTCCCTTATGGCTCTCCCTGCAGGGCCAGCCGCACCCTGGGGGGAAGCTATAAGGCAAACTCACCACCTCTGTATGAAGGGTTGTGGGAATCACCCATATGTCAACCTTAATTTGGGGGCTCGGGGTTCAGACCCCAGCATTTCACAGGGTCACTCATCAAAGGCTGTCAAAGAAATGTAATTCTCAGAAGGGTTGAAGGACAGCCTCATTTGGAATTAACAACAGATAAAAAAATTCCACCTGTTCTAGGAGCATCTGATCATTTTAGGGAACTGGAAGATTGTCAGTAAATCCAGAGAATACTTTTCTGAGACTTCATTCCACACATAAACCATCTGGAAAGAAAATGAACACACGTGTAGCAAAGCTTGTTGGTATAAAATTATTAAGGATAGTAAAATTTAAAACTAATTGTGAAGTGCTGCAAAAGGATATAATGGTAATAGAGTGGAAATGTGACAAATAATGTCACTCAGTATAAATTATTATAATAACTAAACCTAAACCCACAAAATCTTTGATAGATATTGTCAGTAAAGAGATTAGGGTGCCCTTGTGAATAAACATGAGCTCAAGTGCAAAAAGACAAATAGAACTTAATGATGAGGAAAGCAACAAGAAAAGAACAGGAAACAAACAAAAAAGTGAAGAAAACTTGTGATAGAAAGATCTACAGCTTCAATATTGCTGTATGATTCTCATCTTCCCATCTCAACATGATAGAATGGAACCTGAAATGGTGCAACATGGGCACTAGGAGTCATCAGAAGTTTATTAAAGATTCACAGTAAGGAAGGATTAATAGTCGGGATTTTTCAGTTTGTAAAAGACACAGTTAAAAGTGGATATGACAAATATCTTATAAAATTGTCAATGACAACTGAAATTAATAAGAAGCTGGTATTCATAACCACACAGAAAAGAAGCCAGACAACAGTAAAAAGAAGCCACAAGGAGTGTAATTAAATTATTAAATTTATTGACATAGTATAAACCAATGGGAATATATTTTTTTATGACAGATTAGATTAGGAATTACTTCAGTCTAGGCTAGGGAAAACTTTAACTGACTACAGTCTAGTTAACACCTTGACCTTATTTAAATATCCAGGACATAAAGGTTAATTTCCTTTTTTTTTTTCTAGGAAAAAAAAAATAAATAAATTGCCTTTTAAGCTTTAATGACAGAACTAGTTCAGAGTTTGCCTTTTAATACAACAAACAGTATTTCTACACAAGTTCATAAAGCAATATCAAAACATTGATTTACTCAAGGTTTTGAGGAAAAATAGGCCACTAATGCTAGTACATGTTGTTTAATAAGAAATCTTCTACTTATAAAGTCACAATATTTATGGAAATATGGTTTTTAAATTAAAAACATTTTATGCATTCTACTTCTGCTATTGAATTCACTTATTAGGCACATTTAGATTTTCTAACTAAATTTAAACTCCCAAAGACATATTTAAATATAGATATGTTTAGACTTCTTCCTAGAGTCATGCTGCAGGAACCTGTGAGACAACAGAAGAGAGCACAGCCCTGCTAGAAAATCCTGAGTCCCAGGAGGAACATTTGAAGGGCTAGAAGTATATGTTTTACCATTTCAACCTTAGATGTTATTTTTTCCTCTAATAGGTTTTGGGTTATTTTTCTTCTCTCACCTGCAAATTTCATGTTCCCCTACTTCAGTGTGTCTTTTCTTTTCTTTTCTTTTCTTTTCTTTTCTTTTCTTTTCTTTTCTTTTCTTTTCTTTTCTTTTCTTTTCTTTTCTTTTCTTTTCTTTTCTTTTCTTTTCTTTTCTTTTCTTTTCTTTTCTTTTCTTTTCTTTTCTTTTCTTTTCTTTTCTTTTCTTTTCTTTTCTTTTCTTTTCTTTTCTTTTCTTTTCTTTTCTTTTCTTTTCTTTTCTTTTCTTTTCTTTTCTTTTCTTTTCTTTTCTTTTCTTTTCTTTTCTTTTCTTTTCTTTTCTTTTCTTTTCTTTTTTTCTCTCCTGTAATTTCCTCTCTTGTTATTTGCTTACTCTAGAATTCTTTGGACACTCTTGACTGATTTTTAGAGATTTAGGTTAGACTTATCTTGTTGCAACTGTGCCTACAAAACACATTTTATTCGTCTAAATATCTGAACAATTCTTACTTTAATATAGATTTTAGTTCTTGAGTATTGTTTACGCCAGTAGTCTGTCTAACCAAGCACAGGTGAGTCCTATTCTCCTGCTGTGCTGATTATATTTCCTTTAAGTCACAAGAAGTACAAACATCTCACCTTGCTTTATAGACTGTCTCCCTTCTCTGATCATATCTCATTTCTTAAACTCTTGTGATTCTCCAAAGCTGTAAGTCACTCCACAGCAAATTCCAGATAGCTCTATTGATTCCAATGTTTCTATTTTTCACATTCTTGAAAGTTTTTCTTGTTCTGTCTTACAGTACTAAGCGTGTTGTTCTGATAAAATGAATCATCACCCAAGTTAAAAGGGTGACTGAAAATTAAATATGTGGAGGTTTTTTTGTATGTGTCTGCATATCTGCTTTGTATCAGTGTACACAAATACTCTTACATTATTTCAGTTTTCTTGCTCAGCTTAGAAGGTCCTCAGTTGAACTGATATATAATGATATATTATTTTATTTGTCATCATTGTCTCTGCATTGGTAAATAAAGTTTTGGTCCATGAAAATTCTTACCTTTCTAAAACTGATTATTAAAGAATCATCCTAGAAGCATAGTACGGTTTAGATTCGAAGACATCTTAAAGATTATAGTTCCAACCTCTCTTCCCTGGGCAGAGACACTCCCCACTAGACCAGGTTGCTCAAAGCCCCATCCAACTTCACCTTGAACACATCCAGGGAGGGAGCATCCACAACTTTCCTGGGCAACCTGCTCCAGGGTCTCACCACCCTCACAGTAAAGAACTTTCCATTTTGTAATCTAACTCTACCCCCTTCCAGTTTGAACTCATTACCACTCATCCTATCACTACAAGCCCTTGGAAAAAGTAAGCTTTCTTGTAAGCCTTGTTCAGATGCTGGAAAGCTTCAACAAGGTCTACCCAGAGTCTTCTCCAGGCTGAACAACCCCAACTCTCTCAGCCTGCCCTCGTAGGAGAGGTGTTCCACTGGTGATTGACTGCTTTAATCTTTCCAGAAAAGATCTTAATCTTTCAAAAAATCTTTCCATGTTTGAGAAAATAAATTCTTTTTCTTAAGCTCACTGTTGTGCCACTGGTAACCCTGAAGAGCATTTTAGAATATGTACTGGACCTGACCAGACCATATCAGATCAAACAAAACTGTGTCCATCAATTACTAGCTTTACTGACAGGCAGGTTCATAAGGCAAGCCATGGGATTTTTCTGTGATAATCTCAAGAAGTGGAAAACTAACAGTATTTCATATTTCAAACATTCCTTATTTTCCAGGTGTGATGGGGGAATATGAACCAAAAATTGAAGTCCATTTTCCTTACACAGTTACAGCTGCAAGGGGAAGTACTGTTAAGATGGAATGTTTTGCACTTGGCAAGTAAGTACAGATTCTTTCAAAATTAGACATCATTGTTTATTAAGATGTGACATCCCCAATTTGTGGTTTCATTATTTTGCTGGATTTCATTTTCCCAGTCAGTCTTTACTGCACACTGCACATTCAAAGTAACCAATTGATTAACTAGCCAATTATTAATTCCCTGCCCAGCCATTTCTGTGGAGAGTAATTCATTCAAGTTAACAGACTGTCAAAATGAAAAGTAATGTGTGCTCTTGTAAACAACAAGAGGAAAGGTTTTTTTAATGAAAATTTTACCAGACCCACCCATTTATTCACTGTAATACCATAAATCCATGAATTAGAGTTTATTCTACTAAAATACCATAGTGGAAGAATGAACAATATTGGTAACATTTTTTTTCCTTAAAATGTATGAGTTTTGTAAAAGCACAATATTTTTAACATGTTCTACCACATTTTGCAGCAGTGCCAGTTTTTTAGTTTCTACCTGACCTAATAGCACTGCTAGAGAACAGTTGTTTAGTATTCATGTCAAGGATTTTTTTTATAAGTTTATTGATAAATGAGTTTAGTGAGAGAAAGGTTTTACAAATACCTCTTTGCAATTTCATACAAATAAGAAGTGAAATTTCTTCCATACGCTGTTCAGATTACGGAACATAGGCTGAAACTGATAACATTTCAATTTTGTCATGGCAATTACTATTATTATTGTTGCTAAGAATAAGGGTGGCAAGGGTATTATACAGTCAAAACTAAGAAGCGATTCTAGTGATTCACAGAAATTCCTTCTTCTGTACATATATGTAGCTAAAACCAGGTGTTGCATCAGAGATGTTTCACTTAGAGACATATAAACAAATATAACAGGTAGGTTTTTTTTCAAAAAACATCCCATAAAGTTTGGGAAGGGAGTGGGGCTTGAAAGAAATCTCACAGTATTTAGTTCTTCTCCATTACTTTCTACAATTGTGTTCCTCTTGGACATCTCCCCTCCACTTCTCAAAGTCATGCTGCTCATATAACCTGCTTGGTTTTCTAATTTATCAAGGCACATACAGTGTTTTTATAGCTTGGCTTTAATTAAGAAAAAGTAAAAGGATTTGGTTTTGTACCTCCTGCAGAGTAACTTCACAAATCAGTTGTATCTGAGGAGTACTGTATCTCCCACACCAATTCCTCTTACTTGTTTACCTAAATAGAAAACAGATACAAGAAAGCAGTTTTCAGACAGAAGTCTCTTTTCCTATGGTTCACCACTCCAGCTTGCTTGGCAGGTCTGGTTTTCCAGATTAATCTTTCAGAGCCTGGCACTACTACTTCAGAGGTCTTTAAAAATTATTTTATAATCATTGTGACCTTCATGTGTCAATGGTCACTGGATTTTTATGTTGAAATTTTTTGTTGAAATTTTTCTTTACCATTCCTATTTATGAGCTGGATGAGGTGTGTCTTAAATGGGCTTTTCTTCTTGTCTGTGCTTTCTGTTTGACCAACATCCAGATTCTCTCAGTGAGTAGGTCAACAGAAAGTATTCATAAACAATTAGATATTCTGACAAAGTATTTTAATTGTATCTATTTAGGCTCAGTGAAGTTCAAGGAGAGACAGGACATAGTCAAACCAGTTCACACAAAATATGGGAGAGCATAGCCCATATATAGGGAGCCATCAGATAGTGACAACAACTTTTGCAAATTCATTCCCAGCCTAAATGTAAGCAGTAGTTTAGAAAGCAAATGTGAGGGGAGAACTTCTGTAGGATAAAACACAAGACTTACATTTTATGTAGTAAAGATAAGGAAAGACGTACATGAGAAAGGACAGAAAAGCAATAAATGGAGAGATTCCCTGAGATGCCAAACTATATGAGGAAAAGGGCTGTTCTGCAGAGGCTCCAGGCTCTTCTGTCAACAACACTGACCAATTTTCTGCCAGGTCAATAGTTGGCAATGAGGTCGTTTTAGACTCTTAGCTATGATTGAAACAGTAACCAACATGTTAGCTCTTGTTTTCTTCATTTTGCTGGAATTAAATTGCAGTTGCTGACAGATTACAAGTCAGCTAACACTTTCCAGTGAAAAGAAGGTAAGCCACTTGTTGTCTGTCATAACCACCACTGACAGGAAAGAAATGCAGCTACTGATACCTTCCATCACCAGTGCCCTGAGATTTAGTAAACTCTCTCAAAAAGAGTCAATCAGTATTCAAACAGCCATGAGGAAGGTGAAAGTTGACAAAAAAGGGTTCAATTAGCTTATTTTCACATTCATATTTGGCATTAACCTTTAATTAAAAACAAACAAAAACAACAAAATAAAATAAAAAATAAAACAAAACACCAAAACCCAGATGATCAATCAAGGAATTTAAGGTTATCTAGTAGGTTGACCCCATTTACTGCTATTGTAATGGGCAGCTATTTTTACCACACATATACCTTATCTTCTTCTCGCAGCCATTAATGCACAATCAAATCAGCTGAGTTGAAATTACTTTCAACCTGATATGGTAATAATTACATGAATGACATTTCAGTCCTCATTTGAAACCTGGAGGCTGAGGTGGGAGGTAGAAATACATCAAATTTCCCATTCATTTTTGTCATTTTCATTTTTTGGTCCCATCTCCTATTATAGCTTGTAAGGCTATTTTCTTGTTACATTGCCATGGGTCCCCGGTACCAAACTGAATCAACAACTAATTTGTTCCTTCTCTATTTAGCATTTTGAGATTTGGTGTTTTGAATTCTCATTGTAAATAACACAGAAGTTATTATAGTCTCAAAACCAATGTGCCACTGTTTTTCTCATGCTTTAATTTAGCTGTCTGAAACACTCGTTCTTCTCTCTCCGGTGTAATTGTGAGAATGACAGACGTTCCACAGAGATTTCTTGAAGTAGGCATTTGGCAATATTCCAGAAAAAAGCCTAGTCTTTAGTTACAGATTAATGATTTATTAGTAGTGTTTATTTAGGACTGCCAGTCACTGTGGCTGTAGGAATGAAATAAATTTGAGCTGTGCAGCTTTTGTCTCCAAAATAAAATCAAATATCTTAATTGCTTGACAGACAGAAATTCTCTGAGAAGGATTTTATTCTGACCCAAGCAATATGTAGGGAGTCTAGTTAAAAGTGAAAATATTGTTACTGATGCCACTTATAAATAGACCTTGTTGTTGCTAAAGAATTCAAAGGAATACAGGAGTGAAATACCTCAAAATTATTTGTATTAGATAATGCTGCTTATAATGAGCATCAGTCACTGGCTAAGAAATCACTGAATATATCCGTGACTTACTGCTGAGGTATGACAGAAGACAAGACAGACAAGAGGAGACAAATCAAACTTACTGTATTATATATTAGAGTGTGCATTTTGCAATTTTGCAATTTTGTGCTTTATGCTGGATATTCTTGTCGGCCAGCTTGTTGAAAGGTTGGTTTTATGGCTGTATTCATTACATGTCTGCACAACTTATGTTTCCATCTCTGCTATTTCATATATACCTGTATGTATAACATATAGACAGGTTATCTGTCACCTGTTTATATCATTAGAAGAATTAAAATTTTTGTTTGTTTTTTAACAAGATAGAGGATTGCATTTTTTTTAAAGAGCATTTTATTAAAAAAAAACAAAAACCCACTGGTAATAGCAAAGCATTATCATCTATTTTTTTACTTTTTCATAAGAACAAAACTACTTATTTTACATAATTGCTAAAACCTAACTGAGATTTACATTAACTACTGTTAAAATAATAATTTAAAAAAGACAGAAAAACCCTTAAAACTTACTGAATGGAAAAAGTCAAAACATCTATACTAAAAAAAAAGAATAATCTCACTGAAAGTATGTTAATATTTGCTTTTGACTAACACTTTTCACTGCATGTGTCTTCTGTTGTTTAAAAAGACAAGGTAATTTTTTTTTGTAAAACAAATAAATGAGTTATTATTGGTAATAAGGTTGTTTTTTATAGTCCAGATAATCCTGGTTTTCTAACAAGTCCATCATTTCGTTATCAGAACTTAAGTTTATTATATGAACCAGGAAGACAGATTATGTCCTTGTTCTTTGGGTAAATTCTGGTGAGGAAGCCATCATCTTTAGGAAGGACGGGCAGGGAAGGA